ACTGGCGCTGCAAAACGTCGTATACCAACCGGTTCCTGTGCATAAGGTATGCCCCGATAGGCGAATATATCTCGACCATTTACAGTTTTTAAGATACTCCCTCGTATGGTGCCCAAATCGATTTCAACAAGTGGTTCCCGTCTAGTTGACTGTTGCAACGAAGGCGCCACGAACAACAAAAGTAGCAAGGTGCCGCTGATAATTTTCCTAAACCTCAACATTTCAATGTTTGTGCGACGACTGAAAGATGAGACCTTTTTGTACAGCAATCTAACATATAATAGGCTTTTTTACAGTCAGTATTATCACCGATAATGAAATGTACATATATTAATCACTTTGTAAATAAGTACGTAAGTAGATAGTTGCTTAATCTTTAGTTCTCTGTTAAGAGTTTGCTTTAGTGAAGCCGTTTGTGTATCGTCTGGTCAGCAACAAGAAGCAATTTCATGGATACTGGGTCGATGGCTTCCGCGCCAGCAATCAATTGTCTATCGACTGCAACAACTAGTTAGTCGCTTGTTGTTATAAAAGTTGTGTTGTACAAACCGCACTTAAGAATCTTTATTCAGAACCACAATCAACATGTGATGCCGTTGTGGCGAGAGCAACACATTGCACGGCCAGGTGAGCCGCTAATAAACTTCTAAGTCCATATAAAATTATGAGCCTTTATAAAAAAAATTCTAGTGCGGTACAGCATTACATTCTCTTATATTATTAGAGGTTTTATATAGTGGAAAGTTATTGCCTCGTGCCGTGTTGAGTTGCTGCCAAACACAAAGTGTTACCCTAGCTTCACGAATATCCACCTTTAGCGTTGATTTCTTTGATTGGTACAATTTCAAGAATCTATTTTTCATCACTATTCACAATTCGATTTTTTTTTTAAGTTCCAGCAGCATTTCTGATATGCAAAATGGTTCTTCAACCAATTTTCTTGCTTTTTAAATGAGTTGGGCTGTTTTTAAACATTTTAAAGTGTCGGTTTGAGTGACTTCCAAAGCTTTAGCGACCTGTCTTTTGTTTTCTTGTTTTGCTTTTTTCTTTTTGACCAGGACATCTTTCCTCTTCTAAATCACCACTTTTTATGGTAGCAAGGCACTTTTTGCAAGAATATACAGCTGCTGACAGCTAATTAGAAACGCTCCTTTTACTTCAACCACTTATCATCCTTATCCTACTTATCAACCTTGTACATAAGTAAAATGATAAAATGTTTTGGTATACCGGTATTTATATTCCTAAAAGCTTTCCGTTGCTTGTATTATTCCATGTACGACTAAAATCGCTCGGTTATGTAGTCGTGTAGTTGAAGTTCTGTTAATTTTTTCCCAAATAGTAAAAGCGTTACGATATAGAAAGTGAATTAAATGCGACGGCTAATTGTAAACAGTTGTTTAAAGAATTAAAATTCCTTCTGGTGGTAATTTTTCTTAATAATATTATTGATTTCTGGTAAGGATGTGTTTCAAAGTTGTGGTTTCAAAATATACTAAAATGTAATAAATAAAGTTTTTAATGAGAATAGGTGCAGCTGTACACCTGCCCTATATGGTTACATTTTTGACCTTCGTCAGTCCGGCAAGACATACAAAGAAATTTTGAACCAAGACAAACAAATTGTTTTCAATGCCTTTAAGAATATACAGAATTATAAAACTATTTTCATTGTTACACGCAAAGAAAACACCTTAAAACATTCAACAGAAATAGGCCGCTGAGTTACTACTATCCTGCGAAGAGAGCCAAAAAAGAGTTCAACTGACATTCTACATAACACTCAAGATGAATATAATGTCCAAATATCCAAGAAAAAATTTCCCGGCGTTTGGTCGAATTTGGATTTCACTGTAGGGCAGCACGCAGGAAACCACTTCTGACTAAAATTCAAAGTAAACAACGTGTAGTCTTTTCCAACTCTTATTGATCTTCGACAACAAATCAATGGCAATATCTTGTTTGGAGCGATGCAATCAAAATTATAGATATTGATGGTCAAGGTATGTTCGCCGACCAATCTATTAAGAATTTGTTCCTTTCTATGTTGCAAGCGTAGTGAAGCCTGGTGGAGGTTCAATCATGGTGTGGGAATTTTTTTCCTGGGATGGTGTAAATCCGCTCCATATGATTGATGTAGTTTTAAAAAAGGATAAATACGTCGGCATTCCCAAAAATGTCCTTCTGCCATGGACTTATCTTTTGATTACACGTGAGTCCCATTGCTAATTGATATTTATTGCTAGCTGTCACTGTTATAAACTTATGCCTACACTTACTTTCAATTCCATGTTTTTATTTTCACATTTGCATATAAGTTAAACTCTCTTTATCATTTTAAGTAAATATATGTAGTTAGTTGTATAAATATCTATTAAGATAAACAAGGAAATATTTAAATACCTGTTCACCTTAGTGTAGTTGCGTTATTGGATATACATATACTTATGAATTTACATACATATGTATATGTGCATGATAAATTTACCTATTTACTTAAACTTATTTCTACTGTGGTTGAATTAAATATATCAAATATAAAGCGCAGATAAGACTAACTTAAAGTAAAATAATATTGAGCAGTCGAAAAAGTCTTTTCGTATATCTAATCAAACTTCAATTTACTTTTTTATATTTGTAATGAACTAAATACGTACCATTTTGTCCGACCACTTTTTGCCAAACCTCCACTAGAGACATTATTCCATCAGTCACTTTTATGCTTTCTCGGCGAAAAAATGCGAAAAGCAAATTTTACATGCTTGTCTTGAAGCCAATGGAGTAATTAAAGGAGTTCTGCATTGACGGAAGCAAATGTTGGTCCGATGGTGCAAGGTTAGCCCTATATGGTGGATGCATTAAAACTTCCCAGCTTAGCTCTCCCAATTTTTGCCGAGTCATCAAAGATGCGTGTGGTCTAACGTTGGTCTGATGAAAGAAGAAGCCCTTTCTGTTGATCAGTTCTGGCCGTTTTTTTTTCGATTGCTTGCTTCAATCGCATCAGTCAATCAAATCAGTTGACAGAAAAATGTAAAATCAATCGACCAGGCTGGAGCAGCTCATAGTGGATGATTTTTTTCAAATCCCATCAAGTTCGAGGCGTTAATCCTAGCTTTGCGACTATTTGTTGAGCTTCACCACACGTGGACCATGATCTTTTTCGCACATTATTTTTGTATTTGATTCACTTTTCGTTTCCAGAACGAAAGCGAGCGAACCATTGTTGTGCTACACGAACTGATACAGCATAGTTTCCGTAAATTTCATTGGTGGCTTGCGTACAAATCTTCCCTTTTTTGTACAAAAATTTCAAAATATTGCGAATTGTTCCATTATTTGCACTAATTTTCGAACCGCTTTAACTTTTTTTCAAATTCCCCGAATTTAATTTTTAATTTTGGTTAAATGAAGCTTAAAATCTCACTTTCGTAACACTGCTATATAATATGCCACAATGTGATTGGTAGCACTGGAGATATACGATTTCAACGACATCTGTTAACAAAATACGAAAAGGCTTTAGAAAACTACGTTCAGCTGTCCGATATAGCAACTTTTTCAGCCTTTTGAAATTAACTTCATCGAAAGCTTTTAAATGCATGGATTTATTAAATCCGGAATTTTTATTAGAAGTCGATTCATATACTGGGAAACTAATAAGATATTACTCATATGGAAGCCATTCTAATAACTGGTATGTCGAATTAGTGAAATCATACCATAATTATTTCTCTTCTTTGTTTACTAAAAGCTATTTTGAAAAGTTTGAAAAAAACTTTGTGTTGTTTAAAAAGTGAAAGCTCTAAAGAGAACAGGACTTTCTCTTACGAACCCCCTTATGCTCTTTTGCATTGGATTTATGAATGTGTGTATGTTTATATGTTATAATAGGTAAAAAAGTCTTGCGGTATTTTTTATTTTTTATTTTATAACGGTTTGATAACTCATGCCCAGCTCTTGACCGATGCTACGGCTGCTACTATGCCGGTCTCTTTCGACCAATTCAGCGATTTTATCGCAATTTTCGACGACAGGCCTTCCGGAGCGTGGCGCATCTTCGACCACCTCTACACCAGAACGAAAACGTTGAAATAATCGTTGTGCGGTGGAAATGGAAACTGTATCGGGTGCATAAACTGCACAAATTTTATTGGCGGCTTGAGATGCATTTTTGCCTTTATCGTAGTAGTACTGTAAAATATGCCGTATTTTCCTTTTATTTTACTCCATGTTTGCGACGCTTTAACTAACGAACGACTTGAAAGAAACGATAATCAATCAAACACGTGTTAGCGCGTGAAATGAGCTTTCCGAAAAGGTATASCATGACCCGATGCGACGAATAGAACTAGAACTACGTGCTCTCAGCACCAACTAGCGAAAATGGCGCAAGACTTTTTTGACAAACTAATATATATGCGTTTTTACTCCCTGGTAATGCCCTCGCACATGATTTTCTTTTCATTTAACTAATATATATTTATGTCATGTGCTTTTGAAAACAAGTTTACTTGAGTGGTGGCATACATCTGATCACCATTCGCTCCACTGATGAAATAGCCATTTGGTTAGATCTACTTTATTGCCATTACCATGTCTCCACTTTTCATCTAGTTCACATTTTCTTTATAATCACAACTACTGCTGTATATAAAATGTACCAGCTTCAGTTGCACATATGGTAAGACGCGTTAGTTATTTGTTAGGAAAAGTTTATAATGAAAACAATGAAAGAAACCGTCATTTTTTTTTTTAAATAAAAATTTGTTTCGACACTCTATAAACAAGATTTAGCTTTTGGCTATAATTCCACTGTTCATAATCGATTTTGTTCAAATGCTTAATACACGTGACCTTTAAAGTTATGAAAACTAGCTTTTACATGTTTCTGAAGGCAAAATCTTAACTGATTAGATACTTTTTGCTCAAAAGATGCAATTACCATACGATACGTAGATAACGCTTAAGGTCAGGGAGTGTACAAATTATATAGCTACAAAATGTTTAATAATTTTATTTTGACTTAAAGATATTTTAGAGTATAAAATTTTAAAAACCAAATGCCAAGATTAAAATATTTCTAATAGCTGTCACGAATCTATAATTCAACAGCTTTAATACTCGAATTACTTTGTTTCCAACTTCACCTTTACAAAACTAAAGCTGAAACCACAGCAATTATGGTCGCAACTAAAGCGGAGAGAAGTAGTGGACTTGCACCACTATTTTTCTGTGCAAAAAGTTCATCCCACAATGCATATCGTTCAAGGAAAGGTGCTGGACCAACATACATCACGTCGTTATTGTAGAGTGCTTTAACATCATCGGGGTCCACTGGGGGCCAATCAATATATATGCTCGTTTCAAAAAATCTAAAAACAAGTGAGGAATTAAAGTCATTTCCGAAATCTTACCTCATACTCACCCCCAATTCGCAAAAGTTTCGAATATATGTACCATGCGTTTTACCATAAACATATTAGGTGAGTCTATTGCAAACTGAGGACCATACCATGTGCTTGGCATAACGTATTTCAAGTCATCCGCATGAACGACGCCTGTAAAAGAAAAAGTCATTTTATATATACGATGCATTATTTTAATAATTAAATATAC